GGCATCCTGCTTTATCGTAATATCTCACATATTAAGGTTTAAAAATTACTTAAATTAGAAAACCTAGCAGGCATTACAGATCTTTAGCCTAATGCCCGGCCACAAATATTTAATAAATGCTGTGAGTTTTCATGAAGGAGAGTGTCCAACATTTATTAAGTATGTACTAAGTACTTATTTATTGAATGGCATTTGGTAAGGACACTAAAGCTCAGAGAATTCATACATCAGTGGCACATCTGACATTTGATCTAAGGGCTGTATATTTAGGAATACTGTGCTTTTGGTTCTTTAAATGGGATATTAAATCTGATAAATTTATTAATTTTTTATTTACTTATTTTTTTAAAGATTTTATGGGGAATTGGGGGAAGGGGAACAGACAAGTTGCTGTCCTTTTGTTCTTCAGTCTAGTTGTGGAGGACGTTGCTTCACTGGCCCAAGTTGGCACCATCATTGCGCTCTTCCTGGGCGAGGCAGATCAGTCGCCGGCTTCTGGACCGCCGCTCACAGCAGCTGCTGGCCACACACGGTAGTCCATGGCAACCCACCTGCTGTCGCTGGCAACTCATGGCAGCCCAGCTCCAGGTCAAGCTGTTGTTCAGCATCTTAGCTGTGGAGGGCAGTGTCACTGGCCCTCATATGTGGGATCCAAACCGGGGCCCTCTGGCGTCCCAAGCCAGTTCTTAAAGAACGCGCCACTCAGCCGGCCCTTATTTACTTATTTTAAACTTTTCTTGGCTCAAGCAGGCCTAATTTCATCACAGTTAGGTCAAAATGGCCATGTGACCACACTCTAGGGAACTATTCAAAAGGACCAACAGCATGAAGCCTCATTGAAATAAAAAGATTGGTTTTGTGAACCTTGAATAAGTTCCTCCCTGTTCCACAACTTTAAAATTAGATGTTATCTTTGAAGGTGCTTCTAAAATGTAATCAATATTTCACAGAAATACTGATATCAAACAAACTTGACAAATAGACTGAATTTAGAGTGAGGTGGTTCGTGGGCATTTTTCATGACTTTATTTTTTCATATGTTGGATTATCTGGGTGAGTTGTGAATGTAGTCCCAAGTGTCTTTATAAGAGCGAGGCAGAGGGAAATTTGACTGAGGGGAGGAAAGCAATCAGACCACAAAAGCAAGATGTTATTGGCTTTGAAAATGGAGGAAAGAACCAGCAGTCCTTGAAGTCAACAAATGCAGCTGTAGAATCTGAAAAGGGCAAGGATGTAGATTCTCCCCAGAACCTCTAGAAGGAGTACCCTGCCAACACCTTGATTGTGGTCTAGCAAAAATGATTTTGGATTTCTAATCTCCAAAGTATACAATAAATGCGTGTTGTTTTAGGCCACCAAGTTTGTGGTAATTTGTTACAGCAACAAGTAGAAACTAATATAAAGACTAAAGAGCCTTGCATATACTAGAAGAACCACATTTTCTTTATGAAATTACATCCAGTTTTATTCAATTTCCATTTCTGATATTCCAGTAATCTTGGTCCTAAACATCTAGCAACCTAAAAAGAGATACGTGGCCTTTAAGCCTAAAGATAATCTTTTTCGTTTACAACATCGTTTATTGGCTTCTTCTATTCCTTATTCACCACCTCTTCCTCTTCATTTACCAAAAATATTTTCCCCAAGGGCTTTTCCTTGACCATTCCTTTTTCTTCCCCATTATGTTGTACTTTTTACTGTACTCATTGCCATACCTTTAATTATTACCATACTGCCAACGCTCTTGGGCTATAGGCTAAGTTCCAGACCCACATTTCCAATGGTCTGCTTTGAATCTTCAGCTGGGAGCTTATTGGCATCTTGCATTCACTGTAACTAGAAATGAATTCATCTTCCCATGCATAGATTTATTTTTAAAAAGCCAAATAACACCAGAAAATGAATGCTTCATCAAATAAGGTATGTCAAGAATTTTGTTTTGTTTTGTTTTACACAATAATGGAAAACTAGAGAAGTGTCTTATTTTTCGGTTTTTACAGATGTCAATTTTGAGCAATATTTCTTTCAACATTTCTTCACTTTGTCTTGTTCCACATGGACCATCCTAGTCATGATGCAAATAACTGCAGGAAAGGAAAAGCTGACTTTTAGACTATTCTGTATATGAATTCTAACAGCACAATCTTCCAAACCAAGTATCAAAAACATTATTTTTCTGTTTATCCATTATAAGCCATACCAAGTGCTCATAAATCATGCACATCATAAAGTGCTGCTTTGACATCACAAAGGTTTTTTTAATATTTAAATGAATTTCATTGATGTATAATTTCCAACACTAAAATATTCAAGTTTTTAAAAAAGGTTTTAAAAAATTTTCAATTAGTTGAGATACAATATCATAGTAGTTTAAGGTGGACAACATAGTAATTAGACATTTATATACCTTAGGAAGCAGATACCCAGACAAGCTTAGTGCCCGTCTAACACCATAGTTACACTAGTATTGACTACGTTCCTTATGCTGTACATTACACCCTGTGACTGTTTTTATAACTGGCAATTTGTACCCTTCACCTTTTAAACCCATTCCCCCAATTGCCCTCCTATCTGGCAGTCATCCATTTTTTTCTCGCTCATTATGAAGGTGTTTCTGATTTTTAGATTCAACATATAAGTGAAATCCTATGGTATTTGTCTTTCTCTGACATTTCACTATGCAAAATACCTTCTGGGTCCATCCATGTTGTCACAAATGGCAAGATTTCATTCTTTTTTATGGCTGAGTAATAATACATTTTGTGTGTGTGTGTGTGTGTGTGTGTACACGATTTCTTTATTAATTCGTCTATCAATGAGCACTTAGGTTGTTTCCATAACTTCGCTATTGTAAATAATGCTAACATGAACATATGGGCACATATAGCTTTTCCAGTTGGTGTTTTGGGTTTCTTTGGATAAATACCCAGAACTCAAATTTCTGGGTCATATGGTAGTTCTATTTTCAATTGTTTGAGAAATCTCCATACTGTTTTCCATAGTGGCTGCACCAGTTTGCAATACCAACAACAATGTATGAGGGTTCCCTTTTCTCCATATCTTCGCCAACACTTGTTGTTTGTTGATATATTGATGATAGCCATTCTGACAGGTGTAAGGTGATATCTCATTGTGGTTTTAATTAGCATATCCATGATGATAAGTGATGATAAGTGATGTTAAGCATCTTTACAAATGCCTATTGTCATCTTTGGAGAAATGTCTATTTAGGTCCTCTGCTCATTTTTTAAATTTAAGTGGGTTTTTCTACCTTTTACTTTTTCTTTTGGTGATAAGTTGTATGAGTTCCTTATATACTTTGGATATTAACCCCTTATAGGGTGTATCATTGGCAAATATTTTCTCCCATTCAGTAGGCTTTTATTTTGCTGATGGTTTCCTTCACTGTGCAAAACCTTTTTAGTTTGCTGTAGTTCCATTTATTTTTGTTTTGTTTCCCTTACCCGAGGAGACAACCAAAAAATATATATTACTATGAGTGATGTCAAAGAGTTTACTGCCTATGTTTTCTTCTAGTTTTATGGTTTTGGGTCTTACATTTAAGTCTTTAATCCATCTTGAGTTTATTCTTGTATATAGTGTAAGAAAGTTATCCAGTTTTGTTCCTTTGCATGTATCTGTCCATTTTTCCCAATATCATTTATTCAAAAGACTGTCTTTACCCCACTGTATATTCTTGCCTCTTTGTCAATAGATTAATTGACCATATAGGCATGGGTTTATTGATGGGCTCTCGTTCTGTTCCACTGATCCAGTGTCTGTTTGTACGATAGAACCATGCTGCTTTCATTACTATAGCCTTGTAGTATACTTCAATATCAGGAGGTGTAATACCTCCAACTTCTTCTTTCTCAAGATTGCTTCGGCAGTTTGAGGTCTTTTGTGGTTCCATATACATTTTAGAATTATTTGTTCCACTTCTGTGAAAAATGCCATTGGTAGTTTTGTAGGGATTGCACTGAGTAGTACGGACATTTTAATGATATTAAGTCTTCCTATTCATGAGCATGGTATATGTTTCCATTTATTTCTCTCTTCAATTTCTTCAGTGGTTTACAGTTTTCTGAATACAGATCTTTTACTTTCTTGGTTAAATTTATTCCTGTGTATTTATTCTTTTTGATGCAATTGTAATGGAATTGCTTTCTTAATTTCTCTTGTCTTTTGATCTGAAGTGAGTTTCTTATAGACAGCATATGTATGGGTCTTTTTTAAATCTGTCTGTTCTGCCACCCTATGTCTTTTTTTTTTTCTTTTAGCTGAGCCATCCTGCCACCTGTTGGCAGCTCAGCGGCAGCTCAGCTTGGGCCGGGCATCAAACTGCTGTTGCTCAGAGCTCAGACTCTTGAGCAAGCTCTTAACCAACTGAGCCACTTGGCCGGCCCCCACCCTATGTCTTTTGATTGAAGCATTTAGTCTATTTACATTTAAGGTAATTACTGATAGGTATGTAGTTACGGCCATTTTAAAAACTGTTTTCTGATTATTTTTGTAGTTGTTCTCTGTTCCTTATTCTCTTGCTTTCTTCTCTTATATGTTGATGACTTTTTTTAGTTTCATGTCTGGATTCCTTTCTCTTTATTTCTTGTATCTCTCTTGTAGATTCAAAGAAGCTTAGATAATATAAAGTTCTAATTAAAGGCAAGAACTTCAATAATAAGGATATTTGGGTTTAAGTTTATCAAATTGCAATGTAATCATGAATTTCTCTACCCATGATAAAACAAACGAATTTCCAAGACAGCACTTTAATAATAGCAGTTGGTTGTTTATAAATACCATTAATTTGAGAATAGCTATAAAAAGCAAGTGCAAAACTTCAATGTTGCAGCTGATTTCAGGCATTTCTTTTTAATAGATTTTAAGTACTGAAATTTCCTAAAGGTATAATTACCTTATCTCCTCTATATGTAAGAAATTGTAACATGTTCAATTTGAGACATGAGAAAACATTTATAATAGACTCCACAAAATGTATCTGTAGTTTAAAGGTCATATTTATTAGGAGATTAAGACATGTATTATACATGGACTATAAATACTGCACAGCTGACTTTATTCAGTCAAGCACAGAGATACAGTCAGTGCCAATCTATTTTGTAGATACTCTTGTTCTTTTATTCCAAGAAAAGTTAGCGCCATAAGACTTGGACTTGGGTTTTGGAACCTTCCTCTTTTCAACGTCATAGCTCCATCCTAGAAAACAAAAACAAAAACAAACCCCCAGGAACAGAATTAAAGAGTATACCTGAAGAACATGGTTAGCAGAGGATAATGTTCATAAATTTAAAGTTCATTTATCATCAGGAGTACATGTCAACACATCTGAAATATAAATACTTACTTAGTAATTTGTTCTCTTATAATCCTGTGTGACAAGAGGGCTCAAAATATTGCCTGAAGATGATTTACCATCTCTCAAATTAAAGATGTAACCCATAATTCGATTTTTCCTTGCTTGATACTCTTTGTTCAATTACTGATGGTTATAAGCCATATAAAATTTTCCATTCCTCTATGTGGTTTAATATGTGACTTCTTTAATCAGTGCAATCAGGGGCATTGATAAATACAACAGCTTGGAGCTCACTCAAAGCAATACAGAAAAACATGTACATACTTATCTGTATAAATCAGAGTTGGAGAAGACCACGAGAGACCACTTGGTTCAGCTCCCTGAACTTTGACATGCTACTGATTAAACTCAAAATGTTTTTCCACATTTGTGTCAAGGGCTATATACACTGGAATCCCATAGAAGTACTTGATAATGCAAATTCTTAGGCCTAACCAAAGGACCATTGAATTAGAATCTCTGGTTGGGACCTGGGAATCTGCACTTTATTGATCCCAGGAAATTTTTATACATCGAAGTTTGAGAATCATGGGTCTAAACTGTTCCATCTGAGAGTTTCTATCTTCTCTCCAAAGTCTTTCAGTGTTTTATAATTTTGATAACTAGATTTCTTTATATCTATGTCTTCTGCTTTAAGCTCTCTTAAGAACAACCAAATTAACATCCTCCTCCTTGAGAATATAATTTAGTTACCCTTCTATTCCCTAGTCCAAGCAACCTCTATAAGTTTCACTTTTCTTTATAAGATCCATTTTCCATCCCTGTAATTTATCATTCTGCTCTCTCAGGACTTTCTTCAAATAGCTCATCTTGGAACATCTGATTTGTGGCTGAATCATGCAATCATGTATAAAATGTCCAAACTGAATATTACATAATCTTTTTTTTTAATTTTTTTTTTTAATTGGGGAACAATGTGTTTTTCCAGGACCCATCAGCTCCAAGTCAAGTAGTTGTTTTCAATCTAGTTGTGGAGGGTGCAGCTCAGTGGCCCATGTGAAGATCAATCCGGCAACCTTGGTGTTCTGAGCACTGCGCTCTAACCAACTGAGCTAACCGGTTGCCCCAATATATAATCTAAGTAAGCTTTTTTATCTTGCAAGTTGTCATGAGTTCTAGTGCTTCTTGGTGAATATAATATTTGCTGCCACAAAACTTATGTTTCAATAGCCTCTTAGAATTCAATTTTACCACAAAACCGAAGCTTATGAAACTCAAGTCATCAAAGTATATTGCTAATATTGTCTATTTCAGTATCCAAAAAGGGGAAATAATTAATAATTCCACTTCTAGAGCTCTTCTTCATTTGTTATAAGAAAATGGAGAAGCAAAAAAGCAAATAAAACAAATGATTAAAAAACACAAGTGAAACATCAGAATATAGGAGAGAAACTACTAGTTAACATTACCTGAGTTTCAGAGTAAATGTTTTGAGTACTTTCCTACCCATTAGAACAAACAAACAAAATCACAAAGCTATATTTTATTTTAAGAGGACCTGAACTTATAAGTACATTAACAAGTGGTTATTTGCATTTCAAAAAATTTACTAAAGGGCATAAGAATATTACCTACTTCAGAGGTTTTCATGAGGACTAAACAAACTGATTCATGTAAAGTGCTCAGAAAACACCTGGCACTTAAATCATTTTTTGAGTATTATGAGAAGGTACTTGTTTCTAAGATCTTTATATGAATTAATATTTCCTTTATATAACTGAGGAAACAGGTGCAGAGTGGTTAGGTAACTATTGGGTTGTCGGAAAAGTCATGACACATTTTTGCAATGGAAAACGTAAGAAAAAGGGCTGGTCGAGTGGCTTAGTTGGTTAAGAGCTCACTCAAGAGTGCGAGCTCTGAGCAACAGTGGTTCTATTCCTGGCCCGAACCGAGTTGCCGCTGAGCTGCCAACAGGTGGCAGGATGGCTCAGCTAAAACAAAAAACAAAAAACAAAAACATAAGAAAAAATATGTCATGACTTTTCCGACAACCCAATAGCACAGCATCACTCAACTGGGAAGGGGCAGAGTCAGGATGTGAACTTGGCCTGATTCTGGGGCCTGTGCCTTAACTATACTATCTCTTGTGATTTATAGTAAGCACTAGGTAAATGTTAAGCTATTATTTCTCCCTCAAATTTGATTTGTAACTTCCTAACAACACATCTTCTACGTGAAGTATCAGTGTAAATAAAATTTCCATCACATTGGAACCCATTAATTTTGAATTTGTGATGCTCTGGGTCTAGTTCGGTATAATTTGGCCTAGTTATTAACTATAGAAAGGGGTCTGGGTAGGCAAATTAATGAACTGAGCATGATAACTTTAACATTATAAACTTCTCAAATATTTCCTTCATTAATCAACAAATGATACTGATAACTATACAAAATAATTCATAAAGCAAGTAAACAACAACAATGAGCATTTGCTATTCATTTAATAAATAGTATTGATTGTCTACTCTGTGTCTGGTACTGTTTAGACACTAGAGGTAAAGTGGTGACTAAAACAAAGTCAGTAGGGGAAGAGAAAATAAGTACACAATATTAGATGCTATCGTAACACCTATGATTAAAGTACGTATTTTATGCTAATGAGTGTTGAGGAGAAAACATGTTAGAGAGGACAGACAGGAAAGCCATCCTTTCCTCAGAAGGTCACACATTAGTGAAGACTTGCAGGAAATCATAGAGTGACTCATGCAAATGTCGGGGAAAAGAGTGTGCAGGCAAAGAGAACAGCAAGTTCAAAGGCCTTGAGGCAGGAATGCCTGGTATCCTATGTCCTATATTCTCGGTCCTGTGCTCAGTACTTTAAACATATTTTTATTGAGTTTTAAAATTGGGTTCATAGGTTGCCTGGCTTATGAGGCAGGCATTATGTATACCCCAGTTTTATATTTAATTATGAAGAAAAATAAAGGATAGAGAAGATAAACAAGCAGCCTAAAGCCAACCTGGCCAGTCAGTGGCAAAGCCAGGCTTTTAACCCATGTTACTTTAAAGCCATGCACTGAACCATCTCATAAATAAAACTGCACTTCCTGTAATTGCAATTTTTACCTATTTCACCCATTTCCTTTCAAGCTGTGTGATTTCATAACTTCTTTTCCTTTTATTTTTGTAAATGTGTTGAAAAGGCTGTTTTAAGAAACCCTGGAAAGTAAGTCTACATCATCCAAATGTTGTTCCCCACCCGTTGTGGAGAAAGGAAGTGGTTTTTAGTGTAGATTCTATGTCTGGTTACGATTGTTGGGAACTTACCCAAGACCTCCATGATCATTTCTTACCAAGGGATGAGCGAGAGAACCTATCTGTGTTCCCTCTCCGCTCTGCCTCCCAACACACATTCTCTAGCCCAATAAAGATATTGTAAGGGGAACTGAAGAAATGAGACAGTACTGGGAAATATTTTGGAACTGGTATTGTATATAAACATATACCTGATAATCACCTTCTCATTTATATTAGTTACTTAAACTGTCTTTCAACCACCAGAGAAACACTTATTTTTTTACTGAATCAGAATGCAGACGTAGCTCTATTATCTGATCAGTTCATGGAGTCTCAAAATGCTGTCAGGGTCACGGCAATGTGAGAAGAATGGGGTTCTGTACACATAAAAGAACAATTGGTTTGGGGTTTCGCCTGGCAAGTAAGGAGTGAGCTGGCTCTTGGAAACTGTGAGCCAGATTATACTTGCTGTTGATGGTGATAACAACAATAAATAGAAGTATCATTATAGGGATTGGAATGTGGACAGGCAGGGCACCCTGTGAAGACAAACAGAAACACACGTGGAAGGAACCTGCATTTGCTACTAGTAGTCATCTCTCCATGCTTACTCTGCCACAGCCACCCACAGTTGTTAGGATGAGTAGGGGGAAAGTTCCTTTCCCTCACACTTTTTTGTGGAAAACAACTTTGTTCCCAAAGCTGCACAAGCAACTCCGCTTCTCTGATTCAGCGAAAGCAAAGAAAGGTATGAGGAAGCCTAATGACAACAGAGACAAGCTCAAGTCACAGTCTACATTTACCTTCCTTTGGATTTTGCAACCATTCAGACAACTTTTCTCCTCTATAGGACTGATGTTACAATAAAAATTTGCTCTTTTTCGAAACTCTGTTAAGAATCTAACCACATTTCCAAGAATCCCTTTCCAGTGTCCTACTATACTTCACAGCACAATCTTCCCCAAATTATTTTTGTAATATTGTGGCAATGTAAAGGCTTCCAGAAGAGCCAGCAGTGGCTTTTGATAAAAAGATGAAATAATTGTAAGAATAACACTTGAGAAAAGACACCAAACATTTGTACTTGATGGATAAGTTACATGAATTGTACTTATCTTTTCTACTTCCCATTTGAAACTTGTTCTTAGAACATAATATGACTTACAAGAAATAACATACAGAAATTTAAGAACGGTATCTCATTTGTGAAATGTTTCCATTTCTATAAGAATTTCTTTTCAGCCCTAAAATAAGGTTTCTTTTAAAGGAAATAACTCAAACTTCATTTTCTGAATGAATGAGATCACAGAAGTGAAACACTTGCACTCTCTGAAGAATGCTTCTATAAAATCAAGGTGTAGTCTACGACAATGGTCCCATATGTTGTTCTGTTAGGACACTGAAAACCAGCCCTTGCTCTTCCCAGCTGTGCAACAGAAGAAGATCAAAGCAACTGAGTCCAAGGCAGCTGCCCCGGGATGGGGTAAAGCTCCTAAGCTGCTCTCGCTTTCCACTGAGGAGAACAGCCATATGGCATGGATTAACCACAAACCCAACCAAGCACCTAAATGATGAGACGCTGACTCCCTTCGCGGCTTCACAC